TGAACTAGTGAGTTGTCAGATCTTTGCTCTTTTGGAGATGTTTTCCTTGGTGGTGTCTGATAAAAGAAAAGGATAAGAGAAGAGTGAGGACTGCATAAGATTGAAGGCTTGTGGAGATATCTTGGTAGTATCAGGTGGTGAAGTAGAGAGGTTCTCATCTTCTGTCGTCTAGGATCTGTCAGGGACATCAGTTGCTTCAATTGTAATTGGCTCCTTAGGAGGATTAGACGATGAGAGATTAGCAAATGCTGATTTAAGTGACTAGGATAGCAGTTTGGCACCCAATGCAGATTGACATGCAATAGTCGATGATGGTAAGAAAAGAATTGAATTAGAAGTTGAATATCATCTTCAGAGGAAAGATAAGTTAATTTACCTGAGCAATTGATGATTTTGTTCTGCTAAAGTCTCTTCTCTGTGGTGGCTTTTTGAGTTACACCTTGGGTTGCTTTGCGTTTTGAAGACTTATATGTGAGTATTGCTAGGGTAGCTAGGATTTTCATCAACTTTTTCAGAGTGGGTGTAATTGATCCCATTCTTGAGGCTAGACATGGTCGATAATATTCTATGGGATGTCCTTTCCTATCCACACTTGGGGGATCAAATTTAGTATCCTGTAAAAAATTTGTTAGATGAACTGATAGGAGAACTTGATAATCCTTCTAAAAGGAAAGTAGTGAGTTACCTCACTATCAGAAGCAAAGTCATCGTCCAGGGCTAAACAGTTAGGATGATTTGAGTTGCAGAAGAGGTGAGAGTGCCAATTTTGCCACCAGGAGTCAAACATGTTTGAAGAGAAGGTAGCTCTTGTCCATTCATGCAGATAAAGAGAAGGAAGATCTGACCCCAATTGAAAGACTCTAGAAGCTTCCATTATTTCACTGATATCTTCTCTTGGCTTCAGAGTATTCCTAAAGAATAGCCGAGGGGGTAGTTGACCAAGGTCGAATTGACGGGCCACAAAAGAGGGGTTATAGAATTCATAAGTTGGAAGATTATCTAGGAGACAAGCACCAATAGCCATTTTGCCATGATAATGGCGAAATTCGACAGGCAGCACGTAGGGTTTGATGATGTAACTGAAAATTGCAGCAGTTGTTTCATCTGAATAGCCTGATTCAAACCGGAATTTAACTGGCAGAACTAGCTCATTATCTTCATCTTCATCATAAGGCAGCAAGGCCAAGATATTTGCATCAAACCCTCTAAAAAATTTCTTGAAAATGTGGCCTGCATCAACAACAATTGTTATGACTGATGCAGCTTCATCATAATTCATACACTATTGAATTCTTCCTTCTTTTTCTTTATAATCTTTAGCAAAGTTGGAAGAAGAGAAGCTCATATTCCTGAGATTGGGTCTTACAATCTTATGCATGTATAGATTCAGCCATAATTGTATCAATCACCAAAGGCCACTGATGGTGTGCACTGGTTCATTTTTCAGCAATTGGGTAGCTACTTGGTGCATTAGATGATAAGCAGATCCCATCAGATATTTTCCAAGGAGGATTTCATTACCAGTTCCTAAATGCTCTGCCAAGTATTTATGATTATAGATTGGACCACAGGACAACCCACAAAAAATGATTTTTTCTAGCCACATATTCAAAAAGCTACATGTTCTCTATCATCAACAGTTGATCCATCCCCAATATGATTCAAAATATAACTTGCACATCCTGTGCAGTCTGATATTTTGGCTAATTTCTTGGATCCAACACTTAAAAAATCTTAAGGTTGCATTGATCCTATTATTCTAAGGCTAGTTAATATGTAGATGTCGACCAAAGTAATGGTCATTGGACCGTGACAAAACACGAAAGCATTCAAAGTGTTGGACCAAAAATAAGATGCAGAGATCATATGTGAATCATTTCTTTCCATTCTAGACAATGAGAGTGTCAATCATTGGTTTAAAACAGAAATTTCCTAATCTCCAGCTTTCTTTTCTAATACCCTACGGAACCAATCTCCCCATCATTTAGGTATTTTGGGCCAGTTTCTAAAAGGAGTTTTGGTGTTCTAGGAAGATAAATCTATTGTAGATTATTTGAAGGGAATTCGGTTGGTTTCTTGGTTGATAAAATCAGATAGATTAGGATCACCCATAGGTCCAAGATAATAGGTATTAGGAACAACAGCTGATGGAATCAAAATTTTGTTTCTCATTTCCTAAAATCCAGTTGGGATGAATTTAAGAAGAAAGGAAAATACAGAGTAGCAGCTAATGCTTAAAAGATAGAAATCTAAAAGCATACCTCAGGAACGTGATTGCTGGTCGCTACTGCAGTCGAAATGAATCTAAATCTGAAGAAGGTTATAGAAAGATGCTTCAACAGCAGTTTGGCAGAGCAGAAGATCAGCTAGGGTTAAGGCTTTGGTGGTGGCAGTTTTGATTGTTGAAGCTTGCTCAAGAGAAAAGGGGAAAGTAAGCAGACCGAGTAAGTTGGAAATGATAGTGTTGGGTATTATATAGAATTCGGCCCGAGAAATCAGGAGTCACACGTATATTTCAGAATGAGCAGACGCAACACGGTAAGCAGATAAATAGAAATTTTGGAATAAAATCATTTTTATCCCAAAATTGCGGGCATGTGTTTACACTAAAATTTGGGAAAAAGAACGCGGGAACTTGAAGCTTCTAGAATTATGTCATCAAGGAATCAATTAGATGTGAATCGGTATCAGCTGATTTAGATGCGATGTCAGAATTGACTATTTTATAGATGACGTCAGCAGACGGCATCAATGGGCTATGATTGAATGGCGCCAGGAAGATGTGTCGATCTCTATAAATAAGGAAAATTAGGGTCCAAGTTATTATTAAGTAAGGAAGTTTTCTTTTATTTCAAGAATTATAATGAGTCATATTTGAATAGGATTCATATTTAGGTTTCGGGTATAAATATTAGAGCCTGGTTATTATAAAAAAAATAAACACTCAATCAATACAATCTTTCCGGCTTTCGCCATCACATTAGTTGTAGGAGTACTGTAGATCTCGACGAGTTCTTCAGCAAACAGGGCTGCATCGACTGATCGACCTCCAGCTTACTTGTGAGTACCGTCATGATTTGTATTGTGCTTATAAAGCTGCATCAGTTGATTGATCTTTTATGAGCTATAATATAAGTTATTTATTGTTCCATATCATTGTTTGTAAGGGTGCATCAGCTGATTGATCTCTTACGAATCATAATATAGATCAAAGTTATCGATCTTGTGTTAAATAACTTGTTTAATACAATATCACTAGTTATCGAATCTGTTAAGATTAGTAAGATTTTTCTTACTATTTTTTGTTGATTCACCAGTTATCGATCTTATTATAATTAATGTTTTATTAATTATAACAAAAATCACCCGATTGAGATATAGATAGATCGGCATCATATCATCTTAATTGATCGTCCTTTGATCTGGTCACGCTTTAAATCTTATAATCGATGGCTTAATTCCGCTAGATCGGTTGTTTTATCTTTATTCCAATCAAACATAGTATGTATCCAAAGACATGTTTCCATCTTGAATAAACTCACTAGTTAATGAGAGCCAATCTAATGACACTACCATAGCTGCATCGATCTGATCGAACCTCACTGGTAAGACTTTAGATTAGAAATTATCGATTAGTAGTCTTGTTCATGATCAAGATATGTACTCTGTTTGTTTGCTATGACTGCATCGGCTATTTTAGCCGATTTTCCTATACTCTCACGCATATAACATGTTTTCATGAATATGTGAGTATATAGATAATTTTATAGATTCTTTGGCTTTAGTTTGTTATCATTATCATAGCTACATCGATCCGATCGAACCTCACTATTGATGATAATAGATTAGATTCAAACTGTTTATAGATTCATTTATATTAGACAGTCGATTTGTTCGCATGTTATACTCTTTTCATCAAACTTATCGGCTCAATGTTTTATATCGATCATGTTCTATTTAGCCGATAATGCTTCCTTATATCGCTTCTTTGCTGATTATCAATTCTCTAATTGATCAATGACATCAATCGATCATTTGGTCATATATATTGGAATTTTAAGAAAAGATCTTCTGATTTTGTATTTGAGTGTATTGTACTTATTTTTGTCTAGATTAATCAGTCATCATAAATCTGCTATGATCCACGAGCATCGGTTATTTTGATTCATATCATTATCATTTAATATTAGGCAATAATCCTCGATTTAAATATCTTCATTTCATGGATACGCCGGATATCGATTATTTAGTCGATAGCCTTATTGAATCGGCTATCTAGTCGTACATTTAGAACTTTTTGGTGCAACACCAACATATTCTACCTTAAATTACTGATAAGATTTTCTCTCGTTGATAATTATAGGTCAAATTGACTGGCACGTCATTGGGTTTTCAGAATCGGCTGGTTCTGTGTTGAAGCAAAGCAGATCTCTGGTTTTGTTCCACTCAGATCTTCGGACTTGCTGTATGTTGATCACATCACTATATTTTTGTGTCAACAATATGCACACTATAGATTTGCTCTACTTATTTCAAAAATTTTGTAAATTCGTTATAAGTATGTATTACAATCAGGGGAGGTTTATCACAATTACGACACCCATTGAGGGGCCGAAAAATTACTGTACGTGCGAGGTTGGTGGGAGCATAGAGCACAAATGAAAGAGCAGGATGTATATATCTCTGTATGAAGGCCAAAAGTAAATAAATAGATGGTATTTGTTGAGAAGTGACCAAAACTAACATTGCAAATGGAAGTCCGCCTAAAATGTTATTAAGAATTACGTACTAGCTAGTGGCTGGGATTGGTGTTGATGGCAGAAGGGAACGGGATCATACTCCTGTCGCTTGCATTGCATGCATGGCCATACGCCATGGCCTCCCCCCCGCAACGCGCGCCCGGCCTTCGCCTCCTCCTCTCGCCTCCCACGGCCCCACACCCCGCCTTCTCGCGGCCCCGCCCTCTCCCCTGCTTGTAGCTCCCGCGTGCGCATGCAGCAATGGCCGGCTTCATCAACCGCCACATCCTCCCGCCGTTCCGCCGGCCGCCGCTGCCATTCTTCCGCCCGGGCGCCGGCGCGCCCAGCTCGGCGTTGCCCGCGGGCCGCCGGCCATGGACGCCCCGGCGCATCCTAGACCCGGGCGACGACGCCGTGCTCCGGTGGTACCGCCTCTTCCTGGTGACCTGCCTGGTGGGGCTGTTCGTGGACCCGCTCTACTTCTACCTGCTGCACACGGATGGCCTGGCGGCGTGCGTGTCCATGGACATGGGCATCGGCGTGCTGGTGACCGCAGTGCGCACCTTCGCCGACCTCTTCTACCTGGCGCACATGATCCTCAAGTTCCGCATCGCCTTCGTGGCGCCCAGCTCCCGCATCTTCGGGCGTGGCGAGCTGGTGCGGGACCCCGACCAGATCGCCATTCGGTACCTCAAGAACGACTTCATCATTGACCTCGCCGCCATGCTCCCGATCCCGCAGGTAGGGTCGGACGGACGGTCGGTCGGTCGGTGATGGAAGCTGTGAACAAACGAACGAACGAATTGTTCATCACCTTTAATTTGCATTGTAATTGCATGCAGATGATCATCTGGTTTGTTATACCAGCTGTGAGTACATCCTCCGCCAATCACAGCACCAACAACACGCTCTCCATGATCGTCTTGATCCAGTACATACCAAGAGTGTATCTTATAATATCCTTGAACTCCAAGATTGTCAAGGCAAGTGGAGTGGTCACAAGAACGGCATGGGCGGGGGCCGCCTACAACCTGCTTCTTTACACACTGGCAAGCCATGTTCTTGGTGCTCTGTGGTATCTGCTGTCCGTTGAGCGGCAGTACTCGTGCTGGAAGGAGGTATGCACAAACGAGAACGGCACCACAGCGGAGATGCCTAGGTGTTTCATGAGCTTTCTGGACTGCAAAAGCAGGGAGAATCCCATACGCCAGACTTGGCATAACCACAGCGCGATTCAGAAGCAGTGCATGCTTCCGGACGCCGAATATGACTACGGACTGTTTGCTGATGCCCTCAATCTGGACCGCAACGGGGTCGGCTTCATCGACAAGTACCTCTACTGCCTCTGGTGGGGGTTTCGGAACCTGAGGTACGTAAGATCGGTGGGTCTTTTGAAAATCAAATCACAGATTCATTCTTTCTTTTTATGTCGTAGTACGTGCTCTCAGTCACCATCCATATTATATATCCATCAGTTCCTACGGACAGAACTTGCAGAACAGCACCTACAAGGGCGAGACCGTCTTCTGCATTCTCATCTGCATCATGGGCCTCGTCTTCTTTTCCCACCTCATCGGCAACATGCAGACCTACCTGCAGTCCATGACGGTGAGGCTGGAGGAGTGGCGTGTCAAGCGCCGGGACATCGAGGAGTGGATGCGCCACCGCCAGCTGCCGCCGGAGCTCCAGGAGCGCGTGCGCCGCTTCTTCCAGTACAAGTGGCTCGCCACGCGCGGCGTTGACGAGGAGTCCATCCTCCAGTCGCTGCCGCTGGACCTCCGGCGCGAGATCCAGCGCCACCTCTGCCTGGCCCTCGTCCGCCGCGTGCCCTTCTTCTCGCAGATGGACGAGCAGCTGCTGGACGCCATCTGCGAGCGCCTCGTCTCCTCGCTCAGCACCAAGGACGCCTACATCGTGCGGGAGGGCGACCCCGTCAGCGACATGCTCTTCATCATCCGCGGCGAGCTGGAGAGCTCCACCACGGACGGCGGCCGGACCAACTTCTTCAGCTCCATCACGCTGCGCCCGGGGGACTTCTGCGGCGAGGAGCTCCTCACTTGGGCGCTCATGCCCAACCCGAGCCTCAACTTCCCGCAGTCCACGCGCACGGTGCGCTCCGTCACGGAGGTGGAGGCCTTCGCGCTCCGCGCCGAGGACCTCAAGTACGTGGCCAACCAGTTCAAGCGCCTGCACAGCAAGCGGCTGCAGCACGCGTTCCGGTACTACTCGCACCAGTGGCGCAGCTGGGGCGCCTGCTTCGTGCAGGGCGCCTGGCGCCGCTACAAGAAGCGCAAGCTCGCCAAGGAGCTCATGAAGCAGGAGGGCATCTACTATCAGGAGGCCGAAGAAGGCGCCGGTGGCGGCGCGGACGGCGACGGGCCGGGCCTCGGCCTCGGAGACACCGTTGGAGACGGCACGCCGCTGCTCGGCGAGTACAACAAGGCGGTCGGGGGCGGCGGGGAGCTCGGCACCGGCGCCTCCGGCACGGCGCCGGGGCCGGCCGCGGATGCTGCTGGCGCCGTCGCGCACCTCGGGGCCACGTTCCTGGCGTCCAAGTTCGCCAAGAACACCAAGCGTGGCGCGGCGCAGCACCAGAAGAGGATCGACGACGTGTCCACCATCAAGTTCCCCAAGCTCGCCAAGCCCGACGAGCCGGACTTCTCCTTGCATACTGACGACGCGCTGTGACTGACGACTGACGACTGACTCGATCTCATCTCTGATGTGAGTAGCGCGCGGCGTTAATTGGCGTCATCTCGATCGATAGGTCTCTCTCTCCCATCCATTCCAGTTCCAGCCATCCTCTTCTTCAACTCTTGTCCTCATTTCCTTCATTCACCAAGGTAAGAGAGTACATGCCATGCATGCATGCTGCCATATGATGAGATCGATCGATAGAATCGAAGCACGAGCCGCCTGTAGCTGTAGATAGATATGCATGATGATGGAGTCGCTGGGAATGAAATCAACGTCGCCGTTGTACTGTATACTACACTAGTGCTGATTTAGTGAAGTTAATTAATTGACCTTACCGATGGGTCCAGAGTTCAGACTACATATATACTTTGGGTTGAGGCCCTGTGCTGTGATGTTCCATAGCGCTCCGTTTGTACGTAAACTACACATTTAGATCTAGTTGTGCTCGACCTTATAACACTTGAATACTCAGCCCTAGCAGTTATGCTGCCTTCATTTCATGGTCCAGGACAACTTGCGATCCCACTAACACAACGGTGGTAACTTCTGCTAAATGAGTGCAGGAAAGATGACCCTAAATTCTACACCTAAGGAACAAAACAGCACAAATATAGGTGCAATATATAATTTCATCCATCTCTATGAGATGCTTTTTAACAATCATCTCAAAGAAAGATATCTAGCTATAAGCTTTGAAACTTCCTTGACGCCCAAACATATTGTAAAATATTTAGTCCCAAATCCATCGTGTTCCCCTCTTTTGAATGTAACTTGCCTATAATCTCACCAATAATGGGTGCAAGGGGGAAAAGTTGCCCATGTCCCTTGCCCTGACAGTCGCTAGTAGTATTTCAGACTAGTTATCCTATCTACCTATCGTTCTAGTTTAATCGTGTACGCTCGCATGTACACTCTGAGTCATCAGTGAACGGCTAGGTGGGCCTCAGAGGACCCACTCCTGAAGGTAGGACAAGTCCCTGATCGGCTCGGTCGGACCGAGGAAGTTCCTGACCTGAGGGAGCAACTACCGCCACAGTTCCCTTAGCCTTGTGAAGGGAACGTGACGCCTTATACAGGAATGAATCTGACAACTTAAAATCTATTTCTAAAACTACACCCTCTAATTTCCACCCTAGTCAAAGCCTATGTATTAAATAAACTATCTGGCATCGTTGCTATCTCTACCGTAAAAGAGTTATTTTTTACACCATAATTTGGAATGGAACACGGGAATCCAAGATTCTGGGAAACATCTAAAAAATCGCATCACGCGCAGAATCGGGTCAGGAGAGATCAGGCCCATGAAAACCAGAATCAGGCGATGGCCCATGACGAAAACGAATAAACATAGTCAGCATCGGCTAAAGCACGAAAGAATCATGATTGAAAGCTTGGAGTCCAATTTATCTCAGGTAGGAGTTCTTTGGTGGCTGGGCTGCATCACGTGCTGAGATCTCCGGTTTGCTGTAAGTACTGTCACAACTAGTGTTTTATCTTGTTGGGATGCATCACGTGCTGAGATCTCTGACGCGGTTTAATTTTAGTTAGTCATCGATTTGTATCTTGATTAAGTAGGGATGCATCACGTGCTGATCTCTTGCTTGGTTTTGATATCAAATCACCAGTTATCAAATATGTTAAAGATGAGAAGGGATCCCTTACTATTTTCAATAGATTCACTAGTTATCGGTCTTGCTATCCTTAGTATTCTTACTAATTTTAGCAATATCACCAATTTACCTGATCGAGATTGAGATAGATCGGCATCTTATCATATCAATCTGTTGTCTTTTGTGCTATTAGATTCTGCTAGATCGACTGTTCTATCTCAATCCTGATCAAACATTGTATGCGTTCAAGGCTATTTGACTATAGGCAGGTTTATTGGCTAGTAAACTCTAATATATTATATGTTAGCTTAGGGTTCATTAAGTTAATGGATCTGTTTATCGCTAGATTTGACCTTGTTCGTTTGCTATGCTTTCTATCGGCTATATAGCCGATGTCCTATGCCTTCACTTATAGCATGGTTTCATGATTTTGTTGAAGTATAAATAGATTTATTGACTTATTAAGCTCTAATTTGTTGTTTTTACCAAGTGCTGCATCATCTCTGAACTATTTGGTAACGATGATAGGTTATATTTGATATATTTGTAGATTTATTTGTATTAAATAGTCGACTATTTGCATGCTATACCTTAAATCTATCTGTATCGGCTGTATAGCCAATAGCCTTTGCTTCCATAACTTAATTCTTTTTACAAGTATATCCACTCTCTGATGATTGTATTATTTTTGTCTTGGTTAATCAGCTGATGATACTATTTTTCACTTTTGTCAACCAATCAATGCAACTGAGCTTAATCATATGATTCCTTTCATTGCATTCTTTCATGTTTCATGATTATCGTCTGTTAGATCAATATAATTAGCACTTGATAATAGCCGATAGTGCTTGCTTTGAATATTTTAGAGTAAACTTTGTGACCGGTCCTCGAACTTGTGAGGGTGTGTCATCCCGGTCCTCGAACTCAGAAAGTGTGTCATTCTGGTCCTTAAACTTTGTTTGGGTCTTATATTCATCCAAACGGGTATGGACCCACCTGACAGCTCCATATCTCATCTCTCACCTCTCTCATGGCCATGGCCAGCTTGTCGGTGTGCTGCTGTTTGGCCCGTGCGGCTGCAGCTGTGGCGGCTCATTTGTGCATCAGTGGCAGCAGTGGAGGTGCTTGCTCATTTGCCTGTCGGCCTGTGCGCGGCGACGACGATGGTGTGCGCCTACGCCCAACACCACCTACTTGTCGCCGTTGATCATTGCCCGGCAGCAGCTGCGCCAGCCTAAAGTCGCCCACCGCCAAGTTGCACTCGGCGTCCACCAGGAAGAATGGAAGATGTTGCTCAGCTACACGTTGTAGTGGACCACGGCGATAGGAGCGCTTGGTGCTCCAGCACCCGGGACGTGCGCAGCGTAGTCCGTGACCAGCAGATGCAGCTACGCCGGGCCCGAACGTCACCATCTTGGGCACGTTCATCATGCACGGTTCCATCACCAGTGGGCTACAGATGCCTAGGTTGCCCTCCAGCGCGCTCGCGTTCAGGCTCTAGAACACGCCCGACGAGGCCAGCACGTTCTCCAGCCCGTGCCTGACTTTGCTCCCCACGCAACCGCTGCTGCCACACTGAGCAGGTGAGCGTGCACGCCGCCGGTCATGCCGTGGCCGCTGCCACACCGGTAGGCGAGCGCGTGGGCCATCGACCATGCCGCCGCGCCGGGGACAGGCGAGCGCGTGCTACCGTTCGGGCCACCGCCACTGCCACGCCGGGGCATGGGCCACGCCACCGCCTGCTGCAACTCATCACGCCTCCGCCTACCGACCATGGGAGAGCGGCGGCGGCTCGGCCATGCACCGCGTGCCTGCTCGACCATGGGATGAAAGGAAGAACGAGGAAGACAGCGTTTTTTTACAAACAACCCCTCATGAAGTTTAGAAATATTCATGTAACTTTTGTATCTAAGCAATTTTATATATAACCCCTAATAATCTTCTATTTCGAGCAATCAAGTATTATCTCAGTAAACGGGCATAGATCCATACCCGTTTGGATGAATACAAGACCCGAACAAAGCTTAAAGACCAAAATAACACACTTTCTAATAAATGGGCCTGGATTTGCCTGGTAAGTGGGCCTTCTCCCCCTAGGCTCATGTTGGGTGATGTTACGCCTTGTCCTATTGCGTATTTGGGTGTGTTTTCCTTGTTATTCTGACATATCCTCCTATAAATGGTAAGACACCAAAACTCGTGGAAATAGTTAGTTCTAAAGCCCTATGTCTAAGTTTGGTGTCTGTATGCTTAGGTTTTTATGCAAGTGTTAGCGATAAAAGTGTGAGTTAAGGACCGCCAACAAACTCCCCCACACTTAGCCCTTTGCTCGTCCTCGAGTAAAGTTAATGAGTTAAGGACCGTCAACAAACTTCCCCACACTTAGCCCTTTGCTCGTCCTCGAGTAAAGTTAAGGACTAAGATGGGTCATCTCCTTGATATGACATCTGCATACAAGTTATTTCAAGCTTCACCTACACTCGTGAACTTTGGAGTGTCTACCACATTATCTTGGGAAATTGAATAATGGAACAGCATGGATTCAAATCCCCTTGCATCAATCAGTTTTGGAACTTGGGTTTTCATTTGAATTTAAAAATGTAAACATAGCTTAGCTCCTCGAATGATTCTCTTGGGTCGCTCAAGTTTGTGTTTGGTTCCTCACCAAGGCATATCATAGTGTTACCTTCATTCTTTTCTACCTTTAAAAGGCTTATATGGATCTTTGGGTAGGCAAAAGATATGAAGGCATACTTACTCTGCATATTTTGCTAAGTCAAATCTTAGATCCAAGGAGAAAAGATGTCATACCCTTAGATCAAGAAGTGCAATTGTGTGGATAAAACAATGTTAAACCTATACTATACACCTTGATATGAGTGATCTCTCTCATAAGTTTTATTTCGAGAAGATGGCTATCTCTCTCCCCCTTTTTTTACATGAGCCTTCATGTGCTCATCATTTTTTCTTTTGTACTTGGACCTTCATGTGTCTAATTTTTTTTCAATACTTTTGCATAGCACATGTCTCTTCAACCACATATTGAGAGAGAGATCACTATTTTGTAGAACATGAAGTATTTATTTCTAAGATATTTTTTTGTCTACTCCCAGTGTAGGAGCAGAATTTTTTTGGTGGTTCTAAATGGAAGCATGTTTTTGTGTACTACCAGTGTAGGAGTGTTGGTATTTGTTAACGCAAATAGATAAATCCCCAAGCGCATGGATACCGCTGTAGCTTTCACACAGAGTATTCATAGGTATCGATTTCCACGAGGAATGAGAAGTGAACTAGAGAAGATCAAGGTCGTCCAAGGAAAAGTGTTTTTGTGGGTAGAGAGGGGTTTCCTAGGGTTCTTCCAAGACAAACTAGATAACCAAG